TAAAACATGTAATATACCTCACATTTGGCTTATCTATTCATCAGCTGATGAACACAGGTTGCTTCCATGTTTTAGCTAATGTAAATAATGCTGCTATGAACATAGGTATATAAATATCTCTTTGAGACTCTGTTTTCGGTTTTTGGTTGTTTTTTTAGGGAGGGTATATACCTAGAAGTGGAACTATGGGATCATAAGATAATTCATTTTAATTTTTGAGTAATCGCCATACTGCTGTCCACCATGGCTATTGCATTTCATACTCCCACCAACAGTGCACAAAGTTTCCAATTTCTCTACATCCTAGTTAACTATCCTAATAGGTGTGAGATCTCATTGTAGTTTTGATTTGTAATTCTCTATTAGTGATACTGAGGATCTTCTTATGTGCTTATTAGCCATTTGTGTATCTTGGAGAAATGTCTATTAAAGTCCTTTGCCAATTTTTAAATACGTTGTTAGGCTTCTTTGTTAATTTTTAGAACTTCTCTATATATTATGACTATTAACCCCTTATCAGATATATGATTTGTAATATTTTCTCCCATTCTGTCCGTTGCCTTCTTACACTGTTAACAGTGTGTTCTGATTCACATTTTAAAAATTTTAATAAAGTCCAGTGTGTCTATTACTCCTTTTGCTGCCTCTACCTTTGATATCATATCAAAGAAACTATTACCAAATCCAATGTTATAAAGCTTTTGTCACATATTTTCTTCTAAGAGTTTTCTAGTTTTAATTCTCACAGTTAGGTTTTTGATCCAGTTTAGTTAACTTCTGTATATGGTGTTAGGTTAGGGTCCAGATTTATTCTTTTCCACGTGAATATCCAGTTTTCCCAGTTCCTTTTGTTGAGGGCTGTCCTTTCCCCATTAAATGTTTTGATACCCTTGTCAAGAATCATTGACTATATTTGAGAAGGTTTATTTCTGGGCTCTCTATTCTCTGGTCAATATGTCTATTTTTATACTAGTACCACACTGTTTTGATTACTGTTAGTAACTTTTGAAGTCGGGAATTGTGAATGCTCTAGCCTTGTCCTTCTTTTAGAAGACTGTGTTGGCTACTTGAGATATCTTGAGATTTCATATGGGTTTTAGGATGGGTTTTTCTACTTCTGCAAAACATATTGCTAGGATTTTGAAAGGGGCTGGCATGAGTCTACGGATTGTTGTGGGTAGTATGGATACTAGATATCTTAACAATCTTCCAATCTACACATCTTCCAATCCATGAACATGAAATGTATTTCCACTTATTTATATTTTCTTTAATTTCTTTCAGCAACGTTTTTGAATTTTCACTGTATAAATCTTTTCAGTTAATTTCTAAGTATTTTGTCCTTTCTGATGCTACTGAAATTGAAATTGTCCATGTAACTTTATTTTCAGATTCTTCATTGTTAGTATATAGAAATGCAAATGACTTCTATGTGTTGATACTATATCCTGCTACTTTGCTGAATTTACTTATTAGTTCTAGCATTTTTTAATGAAATTTTCAGTTTTCTATATGTAAGATCATATAATCTGTGAACAGAGATAATTTTACTTCTTCCTGTACAATTTCGATGCCTTTTATTTCTTTTTCTGGCCTAACTGATATGGCCAGATCTTTCAGTACAATTAGTAATAGCTTTAAAGAATTTTTGTAACTTCATAAATTCCCCATTGCCTGTTATGACTTAGATTTTGCTTGCTTATTGTTTTGTTTTTCAGTCTTCGCAGTTTATCAAGCAATCTTTTTTTTTAAACAGATTTTATTTATTTATTTTTAGAGAGAGGGGAATAGAAAGAGAATGAGAGGGAGAGAAACATCAATGTATGAGAGAAACATCCATTGGTTTCTTCTTGCATGCATCCCAATTGGGAATCTAGCCCGCAACCCAGGCACATGTCCTGACTGGGGAATTGAACCAGCGACCTTCGCTCTGTGGGACAACACTCAATCAACTGAGCCAAACCAGTCAGGGCTTTTTTTTTTCTTTCAAATCCTCATCTGAGGACCTTTTTCCCCCCATGCTTTTCAAAGAGCGAGGAAGGGAGAGAGAGAAACATCGATGCAAGAGAAAAGCATCTATCAGTTGCCCTCCTACATGCACCCAGACTGGGGATCAAACCTGCAACCTTTAAGCTACAGGACAATGCTCCAACCAACTGAGCCACACCAGCCAGGGCTATCAAGCAATCTCAAGAGTTACAGGCAGTGGAAGCCCAAAGTTTGTTCCTTTCACTCTGTATCTTGACTGTAGCAGCTTATCAGTGTATACATCTGTCAAAACTTTTTCCTTTAATAAAGTTACTTGTACATAAATTACACCTAAGCAAAGTTGATTTTTTTTAACTGCTCTTGGGAGAACTGACCACAACACAAGCTACATAAGATTATCATACATGATGGATGCATCTCTAAATATGAGCTCACCACAATTACAAAATACTTGAGGAAACAATTCATCTTCAGCAAGAGTCAGATACAACAAATTTCCCAATCAGCTCTGTTTGGCCATCTAAAGCAGGGCTTTGCCCCTATCCTAACAGTTCTAGAACTCAAGTCTTACTTCTAGGCATTCTTTCCACCCCCATATTCCATAGGTATGAAAGAACATTCTAAATAGAAATGTATCTTATGTGAGCTTTTGGGCAAGCTCTTCTAGTTTTGGGGGAGTAGAGCTTTTTGCTTCAGATTAAGATTCAGGCATTATAGCCCTGGCTGGTGTGGCTCAGTGGATTGGGTGCCAGCCTGCAAACCAAAAGTGGTTCAATTCCCAGTCAGAGCACATGCCTGAGTTTCGGGCCAGGTCCCCAGTAGGGGCTAAAGAGGCAACCACACCTTGATGTTTCTCTCCATCTCTTTCTCTCTACTCCTCTCTCTAAAAATGAAAAATAAATAAATAATCTTAAAAAAAAGATTCAGGCATTATAATTAGTCATCATTTGCTTGAACTTGGGCTCCCTTAGTAATGTGCCTCTTCCTCTACCGGAGAAAAATACCATATACCACACAAGAACAAAAAGAGAGGGTACACATACATCCCTGCTGACTGAAAGCTACTTTATGTGATCTGAACATTTCCTCCAGGTTCCCATATATTCACCTCAGTAGTGCTCTCCACAAGGTTGACAGCCCCAATCCCCATACCATTGAAGGTTTCTCCCCACCACCGAGTAACACACTTGATAATCCTTAACTTTGAATGTACAAGACTAGGCAACCGACACCAGACAGGGAAGCATGTAAAGCAAGTAAATATCACATTTTCAGGAGGCAGTGCCATTTCAGGCAAGAAGAGAGCATAATACCGAGGTTCAAAAGTCACTAAATGAGATGGAAAAGCCAGGTTCCTATCCCCTTTCAGCCCAAGAAAATTCATTCATTTCAAAGGATATATTAAATGGCCATGCTGCATCTCACATCCTACACAGGCATCAGGATACAGGAACAAAAAACACTCTATCTAGGACAACATGCAGACTCTCTCTCAGAACACCAAATGAAAAGCACTACCTCGGGGTTAAGCAAAAGAGGGTGTCCAGAGGGCTCTTTCCCCCAACAACCTTCCCAGTCACTTTCCCACTGACAACCTTCACAGTCAGTCATAAATAAATTTGTACTCTCCAAGATACTTCCACAAAACATCTTACGGGATTTGACCCTCAAAACAAACCCAGGAAGTAGGTAATGCAGGTGCATTTGTTGTTTACACACGAAAAATGAGGCTTTAAAATAAATTAAGTGACTCCTGCAACACAACCTGCACCCTCAACACAGTCTCTTTCCTCCCCTCTGGTGGTCCTCATTTAGGCCCAACCCTCAAAAGCCCCAGTATAGCTTACCATGCACTAGCTATGTAACCCTGGCAGAGTTAAACCTCAGACTGTCCATCTGTAATAAACTATAATAAGGTTATTACCCCCTGGACAGGCAGCTCAGTTGTTAGAGCGTTGTCAGATAAGCCAAGCTTTTGGGTTGGCTCTCAGTCAGGGCACAGTCAAGAATCAACCAACGATTGCATAAATAAGTGGAACAAAACGATGTCTCTGTATGTCTCTCCCTTCCTCTTTATCTCTTACTCGGTGTCTAAAATCAATCAATTAAAAAAAATCAACCAATGAATGCATAAATAAGTGAACAACAAATCGGTATTTCCCTCTCTCCCTCTAAAATCAATAAGTTAAAAAAAACAAATACAAAACAGGAATATTAAAAAGATGATCCACATAAAGGGTGTGACTGGCACGTAGTTGGTGCTCAGAAAATGTTTACCACTTTCTACCACTATTATTAACAATAATAGGCAAAGACTTCCGATTATAGGACCCTTCGTAACGAGCCTTTCGAAAATCAGCACTTTCCACCCCCACCTTCACCCCCACGTTCGCCCTCAGGTATGATTCCACGGACACGCCCCCAAACAGACTCTAACCCGCTAGGCACAACTTGCACCTCCCCCTCCAACAAATCCCTCTGCTCACATACCTTACCCGGGACGGATTCTCCTCAGCCACACTTCCTTACAAAGGAGGCCTTCCGCTACTAGCCGCCTCTCCAGCACCAGCTCCAGGACTGGGCATTCCCGTGGGCCCCTAGGCTGAACGCCAGCCGCGGGCCCGCGCCGGTTACCTGGCCGCGGACTCCCGCTCGCCTCCCGCTTCCTCCGGATTGCGTTCGACGCGAGGGCTCGCGCCAGCGATGTGAGCACACGGATAGTTTAAACCATGGCCCCGCCCCCTCACACCGCGCTCTGATAGGCTCCTGTGTGCTGGTGTGCACGCGAGGGCACGCTGGAAGACCCGGGAAAAGGAAGTGTGAAGGCCACTGGGAAAGAAGAAGGGGTGAGAAGAGGGGGTGTCGCTACTTCCGGCCCCCGGCGCGACTCGAGGGCAAAGACTACAAGTCCCAGAATGTCCGCGGCCTTGGAGCCCCGCCCCTGACAAACTACAGCTCCCGATAGGGATTGCAGCAGTGTTTACGTGTTTGGCCAGGGTGTTAGTGGCGTAGGCAGTTACCATGGAGTTGTGCTGGGTAACCTTGAGGTAGTGAGTGGGACGCGGAGGCTGGAGGGGCAGCAACTGCGGGTGAGTCGGGCGGGAAAATGGGAAACTCATTCTAGGGAACAAGAGTTATGTGGAGAGAGGAAGGCCTAAGACTTCCTCCGAGACTGCCTTTCTTGGAGGCCTAAGACTCCCCCCCAAAAAAAAAAAAAAAAAAAACCTTTACCCTCCTTTACAGTGATCATGCTACAACACCTGTATGGGATAGACGGGCGGGAGGGGGAGGGAAGGGCGCTGAGATTCATTTACAGATGACGGGCTGCTTAAAAACCCCATCAGAAATACGGGGCTCCGTACTACAAATGCCTCAACTCCCTGACACCCTGGGAGATCTGAAACACCCTGACATAGGGTTGGTTTTCTTGATGAACTGACACCCTGCGTCTTCAAGATCTGAGAGTAAATCCCAGGCCCTACCTAATACCGCACACGTAAATACTTTATGGGGTTTGTACTAACCCCTGTCCTTCCAAGCAGGAAGATCTCAGGGTAGAGCCTCCTTCTCCGAGTCTCAGCAGGACCTTTCCACACACTTACTAGAGGTCCTGTCCCCAAATTGCCACTTCTCCCTACACCTCCTCCATGGTCTGCTTCTCATAGATGTTAGAGCTTTGTTCCTTTTACAGTCTTCATCGACAGACCTATTACATTTAGTAACTTACCCAGCTCTTTCATATCCAGTGTGTCTTTTGAGCTTTATGAATCAAGGATATTTATCCCCATTTCACAGATTGGAAAACTGAAAGCCAGATGGGCCCAGTGACTTGCCCAAGGCCACACACCAAGTCAGTGACAGCTTGGACTAGACCCCAGTGTGTCAACATCCAGCCAAGTCTCCAACATGAGCCTATAGACTCTCTAAGAACTTGTCCAAAGGAGTAGGAATTGTCCCAGGGAAAAGAAACCTGTATGACCTACCTTGGATTATTTACACTTTAGCCTGAATGAGTTTCAAATACTTCCTTGGAAGTTTAAATAGGAAAGGGAACTCGAGAGACTGAAGGCAACAGAAATCAGCAGGAAGGAAAGTCTGGCTATACAGCACCCATGTCTGATGCTGCCATGATTAGCTGGTTTCTGGCTTTCAATCTAGCTCTGGTGCGGACTGGTCGATGTAATATCTTTGTCCTAGGCCCACTTCCCACCTCACTCTCTATTCTTGTCTTGAGTATTCTCATCCACATCCACAACTTTATTTACCACCTGTGTGCAGATGTAGACAGTGTATATCCCCCACCCAGCTCTCAGCTCGAAGCTCCAGGTCTGTATAGTCAATTGCCATTTCAACAACTCCTTCGGGATATGTCAAAAACAACCCAAACTCAACATGTCTGCATCTGAACTCATAATCTCTGTGTACCGCAAACTTGGATTTTTTTCAGCATTCTCACCTCTATCCACCATTATAGAAGCCAAAAACCCAAATGTTTCCCATCCATCATAAAGTCCTTATAGCTTTACTTCTATAGTCCTAACTACCATCGCATCCTTCCTGCCTTCCCTCCTTGCCATTTTGTGCACTGCAACCAGAGTAATCCTTCAAAAAATGGAAATTTGATGTTGTTCACCTTCCCCAACCCACCCCCATTTAAAAAGTTACCTTGTGGTTTGCTATTGGTCTTAGCATCATCTAACATCTCAGTCTGCCTCGTGCCCACCTTGTATCCCCTCCAGTTATATGGCCTTTTTAAGGTCTTCAAATTTTCCAAGGAACCTCTTACCATACAGCCTATTATTTCTGCTTGAAGTGTTCATCTCCTCCCCTCCACCCATCACTGCAGTTAATTTGTACTTATTTAGTGTCTTATCCTCAGTCTCTTATCCTCAGTCTCTTCTCTAAAAATTCTTCCCTTAAAATAAAATAATAATAATGATTAAAATTTAGCCCTGGCTGGTGTGGCTCAGTGGTTGAGAGCCGGCCTGTGAACCAAAAATTTGCTAGTTTGATTCTCTGTCAGGTCACATGCCTGGGTTACAGGCCAGGTCCCCAGATGAGGGTTTTCGAGAGGCAACCTACTAATGTTTCTCTCACACGTTGATGTTTCTCTCCCTCTCTTTCTCCCTCCCTTCCCGAACTCTGTCTACGAATAAATAAATAAAATCTTTTAAAAAATTAAAATGTAAAAAAAAAAAAAGATTAAAATGTCTTCCCTGACTCCTCAGACCAGGTCAGAGCACTCATTGATAGTAACCTCATGTCCCTCTCCTTTATAGTATTATTCACTGTAGCAATTTTTAATGTTATTTGTTAAGCACCTACTACTTGCCACCACTATAGGGATACAATTATGAGAAAACCATGGTTCCTGTCCTGGTGAAGTTTATGGACACACAGATAGTAAGCAGATCACTCTAGTGTTACGAGCACTACTGTGGCAATAAGAAAAGGGTGTTTTTAGGAAGCCCAGAAGAGAAGCTCCACACCCACGATTTGGGATCTGAGTAGGCTCTTCAGAAAAGATGAAACCCAAGCTGAGTTGTGAAGTAAGAATTAGCGAGGCAAAGGAGGAAATAACTGAATTACAAACAGGAAGAGCTGGCTGTGCAGAGGACTTGAGGCAGTGAGGCAACTTTGAGTACTTGCATTTAGCTGGACTGAAAATTTGGAGGTGAGGGTAGGAGATGGGAGTAAAGAGGTGGGCAGGAGGTAGGTTCAATCTTGGGCCTCCCTTTGACACTTGGAAATACGACTTCCCAGAACACAGATAATTTGGTAGGCTTTTCATGACAGTCTTTGATTTTTCTTCCATCTGTACCCTATAAACAGAAACCTCTCTAGGCCAGGCCATTGAATCTCCTTTCAGATGTCCTTGTCTGATTATTACTCAAAACTGTCTGTGCCGTCATGTTGCTACTTACCTGAGAGAAGGCAGGAATAAGCTATTGACAAATAATAAGCTAATAAACAAATCAAATTGCAATTGTTAGTAATTTCCAAAACCTGAAAACATATCCCTCAACTTGGGATTAGTTAGTTAAATTAAGTAAATAAAGTAATAGGGTACACACAAATTTTATGGAATTCTCTGCAGCTATTAAAACAGTAAGAGTACGACAATTTGGAAAGAAAAAATAGGTTACAAAGGAATAGACAGTATGTGTTTATTTTTACTTTAAAATACACCTAATTTTATTATATATGTATTCTGTGAGATTGTATTCTCAAACTATTAACCATGATTGTTCCTGGAGACCGAGGTGGAGATTCAGGCTTTTAGTTTCTATTTGATGTACTTTTTTCTGTTTGTTGTTTGTGTTCAGTAATCGTGTTGACTTTTTATTTATTTTTATTGTTGTTCAATTACAGTTGTCCCCATTCAGGTTAACTTTCTAAAATTAAAAAAAGGAAAAGAGTAAAAGATACTTCTAATTTGGGGGAAAATCCCAAACAAGTCAGGTATGCCCCTAAGCCTGTCATTGGGCAAGTCAGTCAGCCTGGACAGATGAGGAAGCTGCTGAGATCTGACTAGCTCCTGGTTATGAGGCAGAATCGCAGATGGGAAAGACTAAATCCAAAAACAGCCCCTGGAGTGAGCAAGGCAGCCAGCCTAAAGGCTTTGTCAGTTCCCCCAGCAGTCAGGCTCACTGTGTGACACCTTGATGACACCATTCCTTTTCATTTCTTCTTTTTTCCAGTTACTCATTGGTCCATCAAGCGTTTAGTGAATACCCCTTCTTTGCCAGACTCAATGCAGGGTAGTGGAGGGAAGAGAGAAAAAAGTCTGACTACTACCCCTGCCCTCAAGCTTACAAGAAGGGTGTAAGTACCCTAAGAAGTAGGTTATAAAGATGAGTGTGAGGAGTACAACTGCCTCAATTTATTGAGCACCTGCTGCAAGACATACAATAGCTCTCAAGATAGGGTATGTCTGTTTTACGGTTGAGGAAACAGGCTATGATTAAAATTTTGTTCAGAGTACAGTGGAACCGCTATCACTTAGCTATTGCTGTAAAACAAACCATCCCAAAACATTGTGGCTTAAAGCAATAAGCAATTTTTATTGCTTTCATGTCTCTGAGTCAGCCGCTGGCTTATTCATGTGTCTGCAGTCACGTCTGCATTAGTTAGGTGACTCTCCTCATCTTTACTTGGGGTAGGCTGGCTATAGGCTGGTCTAGGATGGCCTCTGGTGGATCACTGGCTCTCTTTCACATACTTCTCACCTTTCTCACCTGCACGTTTCTCATATCCCCATCAGGCCAGTCATGTTCTCTTGGCACTGGCAAAGAGCAAGAGGGCAAGCAAGCAAGCCCTCTCTTTAAGCTTCATGGTTACCAACATCCCATTGACCTAAGCAAGTCACATGGCTGAGCCCAGCATCAGAGTAGATGGGACTAAAAGAGTAGACCAAAAGGGGTAGAAACGGCGGAGACAATGAATAGAGATCATCGAGGGAATCAATCTACCACCAGATGCAGTGATGAATTTTTTTAGATTCTATTTATTTACTTTTAAAAAGAGGGAAGGGAGGAAGAGAAACATCAATATGTGAGAGAAACATCTACTGGTTGCCTTCTGCACACCCCCATCTGGGGACCTGGCCCACAACCCAGGCATGTGTCCTGACCGGAATCGAACCAGCAACCTTTTGGTTTGCAGGCTGATACTCAGTTCACTGAGCCACATCAGCCAGGGCTGATCAATTTTAATTGGAAAGAAAATCTTCATCGTAAAAGGTAAACAAGAACTGAGCACTGAAAACAGGAGAGTATTCACTAAGTAGGCAACTGTTCTGAACTGGATGCAGGCTGCTTTGCCACAATCAGTAGAAGCCCAGCAAGTCTTTCACATGCTCATGACAGACAGGGTTCTATTATTTGTACCTTGGCTTCATCCCTTCTGGTCAGGCACAGGGCAGCAAGCACTCAACAAATGTTTGCAGTATTGAATTGAATATCTTACTGTGAATGAGGTGTTGACTGAAACAGTTGAACCTTAAAGCCAATTGTTAGATAGAGCAGCTTAGCATCAATACTCCCAAAACAGAAATGTGCTTGGCAGTTTCTCATTCATTCATCTTGCA